GCCACTGTCAAACACCTGCTGGATGACCAGCCCAAAGGAGAAGGGGGAGATGTTCAGCATGTTCAGCAACGTGGCTTCACTGGCTCCCACTTTGTCTCCAGTCTTGATCAGCTGCACATCACTCTGAAGAACAAGGGAGCTGGCAGTTAACACCTGGACATGCAGCAGGTTGGCAGCAACCGAGCCCGGCTAGCACTGGCAAGCCAGGTCCACTCACCAGGATTTCGATGGTGCCCCTGGAGATTTTAGTGGTGATGCCTAAAGCCTGGAAGAAGGAGGTCTTCTCAGGCCCCAGACCAGTGTTCTGGGCAGGCACAGTGACTTCGCATGGGGCTATGGCACCAGCACGGGCGGCAGCTGGCACCTGAACAAAAAAATGAGAAACAGTGAGAAGTCTTCTCTCCACAGACACAACCTGAGAACGGTCAGTTTTGTTGCTTTTAAGGAGCCAAAATTAGTAAGGTCTCTCCAACCGACCTGATTCTCCCCTTACCTTATTGGCCAGCAGCATGTCCCTGATCTCAGTGAGGTCCTCCTTGGTGAACACAAAGCCCACGTTCCCCCGGATGTGAGGCAACAGTCTGCAAAGAGAAGTTTATGGGAGACAGTCACTTTTCAGTACCGTTCTTCTCCAGGAAAAGGGAGGAGGACACTGAGAAGGGCGGATAAAGATGCCCAGGAGGATGAACTGACTTCTCCAAAGCTGGGTTGTTTTCCAGATGCCCTCGGATGGCCTTGCGCATCATTGTATTTTTGCCCATCAGTACCACGGCCTTCCCTCGGAGAGACATGCGGATCTGCTGCATCTGCTTGGAGCCCACATTGTCTGCTCCCACAATGAAGCATTTCGGATAATCATCCAGAAGTTGCTACAGAAACAAGCCATAAACAAGCAACGTTTCACAGGACAAAAGAAGGAAGAGATTAATAGAAACCAAATCCCACAATAACTGGTTTCCATCTCACTCCCTTTCTTCTATGTTTTTGAAATGTCTCAAAGACTGGGACAATTCCTCTTACTGCCAGCTGCCCGAGTTAAAACAACGCTACATTTTCAAAGATTTGCTTGCTGAGTATGAATGGTAAAAATTATGTTTCTACATTCAATCAAAAAATTTTACTTGTAACTTTCATTTTTAATTTTTCCCAACCATGAAGCATGTTTCTGTTTCACCAAATCAGCTGCATTAATACAAAAAAAATACTCTTCCAAGTAAGGTTAGATTTAAATTATTCAAAATACAACATAAAGCAAATACAGTAAAATATTGCTTGTAGGACCTAAGTTGTGAGTATATGATTTTACAATTCTTTTAAGTTTTTTGTGAGTCTGAAACCCTGAATAAATGGGGAAGAATACAATGGACTAAACTCTACAACGCATCCTAATGCCTGAAGAGCAGCATGGTTAGCATTTCTAGGCAGGGGAAGACCCAACTCAAGGCCATCCAAGAGAAAGCATTCACTTAAAGTTTAGTTTCTTGACTAATAGGACCTGAATATGCAACAACTTGACTTTATATTGAGTCACTCATTGCCTCAGACCTTCCCAAACAAGGAGGCAGGGGAGTAAAGTACGATGAGCGCTATTTGGAAGCCGACAGACCTGGGCGTTAACGCTGTTACCCTAGGAGCCACTTAACGTGCCTGAGCCTATTTACCTGCAACAAAGGGAGGAGGAAGGGCGCGCATCTCGGGAAATTGGGAAGATTAAATGAGATTTGCCTAAAACGACCTAATGTGGTAGCAGGCACTCAGCACATGGCTGCTGACTGTCTCCGTTGATACCCGGGGCTGAAGCAGCACGGTGGGCGGCTGGGACCCACCCCGCACTTACGATGATCTTAAGGAAGTAATTGGACTTCCAGGTCGCCCTGTCTTCCCTGGGCATCACTGCGGTGCGTCAGGGATTGCCACGCAGGGTTTAAAGACGATGTCACTGAAGAGAAAAAGGGAGCTCAAGACACCCCGACACAAGCCCCCAAGACATGGCGGGCTCCAAGCCCAAGGCACACGTGGAGCAGACCACGCGCGGGCGCCCGCCGCCCCGGGGCTGCATTTGCCGCCGCCGCGGCCCAGACCCTGCAGTCCCGAAGCGCCCCCCTAAAGAACCCCCGAAGAACCGCATCCTCCCCGCCGCCAGTCCCGGGCGAGACTGCAGGGTACGAACAAACCTCACTCCAGGACGCCTGACGAGAGAAGGGCCGCTCCCCGGCTTGCATATTTTATAGGTGAACGAAGCAGCCAATTAGAAGCTGCGGACAGCGCCCCCATCTATTGGCTGGGGTCAACGTCTGTCTGGAGGAGCCGGATTGATACAGACAACCATTGGATGATATCGGTGCCATTCCATCCAACAGGAAGCTTCCTTTAAACGAGGTAGTTAAAGGAGGGCACTGCTGTGTGTTGGAGGACCTTTCTCAGAGTTGCTTCCCTCTGCTGGGCTGGAGCCGCTCTCTTGTAGGCGCTAGAGTTTGCCAGCTGAGTCCACGTCTCTTCCGGTCAAGTCGCAACTAAAGAGTATGACGTGGAGCTGAGAAATAATTGCTAATAAAAAAAACAAAAGGAAAAAAAAATTGCTCATGGTTTAGAAACAGAATGGTCTCTTGTCTCCTCTGCAGTTTGTTCTTCTCCCTATCGAAACAAAGGAATCCTTTAAAACCTAAGTCGGATCATTTCCTCATCTGCTCAGAACTGTTTAAAGGCTCCCCATTTCCCCCTCAGTAAAAAGCCTAAAACTTAAATAGCCTACAAGGCTCTACATGATCTGTTCCCCACCTCCACACCTATAATCTAATCTCCGATTTGCCTACTGATTCATTTCCTTCCAGCCGGATGATGTTGCACTAGCTATTACCTCTTCCTGGAAGCCTTCTTGCCGATATCCACACCTCCATCGAGTCTTCGCTCAAATATCACCTGCTGGAGGCCTACCCTGATTGCCCTATTCAAAATTACCCCAAAACCACTCCCACTCCCCCCTTCCTCTGTTCTATCTTTTTGGCAGCACTTACACCTTGTAACACACTATATAATTTATTTGTTCCATTGTTGTTTGTCTCTCTCCAGATATTTTTGCCTTGTGCCTGGCACATAGTGAGCTTATAATAAATATTTGTTGAATAAATGGATGCAGGGTTTGCAGACAGATAACCTTGGATTCATATCCTTGTTCTGCCACTTGCTAGCTGTGTCATCTTAGGAAGTGATTTCACCTTGCTGACCTTCTGTTTCCCTTTCCTCATCAGTAAAATGGGGATAATAGTATTCACATTCTAGAGCGATATGTCTTAAGACAACACAGTTCCTGGAATATAGGAGGAAATCACTAGATGTCAACTTATTTTATTACACCTTCATTCAACACTTATTTGAACAACTGTGCTACATCAATAAATATCTTTTGGGACTTCCCTGGTGGCACAGTGGATAAGACTCCATGCTCCCAATGTGGGGGGCCCGGGTTCAACCTCTGGTCAGGGAACGAGATCCCACACACATGCCACAACTAAGGAGCCCTGGAGACACAACTAAGGAGCCCACCTGCCGCAACTAAGACCCGGCACAACCAAATAAATAGAATAAAATAAATATGTTTTTAATGAATGAGCTTAGATCCTAGGTCGGAAGTGGGGAGGGGTTCTCCTTATCTCCACCCTTTTCACTTGACCAAGTTAGAAACCTTGGTATGTTGTTTTCAAGCCTCCTGGTGCCTCTGATGATGAGCCTGTATAGAGAACTGCTGGAGTCCATTACTGCTAAGATCTCTTTTTAGTGACAATGTATTGATATAACTGCATGCTCAGCATTGTGCTAAGTACTTTGTGCACATTACCACTGTTAATCTTTGCAACAATCCCCCAAGGAGGTACAGTATTAGTATTTCACTTTTATTGATAAGAAAATTCACAGAGGTTAAATAATACACCCAAGTCCATCAGCTGATAAGTGGTGGCTTCAGAACTGAAATCTAGGAGCAAGTTCAAAGCCCATGGGCCTCACTATGCTATACAGTCCCTTCCAAACCTTAAGGCTGTTTCCCTCCAAATGCACTTTTCCAAGTATATACGTTTTCACATAGTAACTTCCCAAGGACATCCTGGCTCTAATGATATAAATATGTCTCTAATTAGAGTACATCAATATAATGGAATACCATGAAGCCATTAAAAATGATGCACATATTTATTTATTGACATGGTTAAATACAAAGTATAATTGAGTGAAAAAACAAATTACAATGAAGTGTACTGTGTTCATTTATAGAAATAAATCCAACATGGGCTGGAAATATTATCTTTGGGTGAGGGGTGAAGGTGATTTTCACTTCTGAGCTTACTGTGAAAGGGTCAGGGTTCAGACTAGAAGTCAACAAGCAGCTTTTGGAGGACCATTCCAAACAACAGGAAAACTATGAAGTTACAAAGCTGTCCAGGAAGCTCTCAAGGGCCCAGGACTGGAGTTCTGGCTCTGACAAGAGCAAGGGAGCATGCAAACACAGACATGACCACCAGGGGGAAGTCGAGAACCATCCTCAACTATAAGTGAAGCCACTTTCAACTGGGAAGGTTTTACACCCGAGGTGTGGTGCCAGAACGTGGGAGTGGTGGTGTCTGGTCAATGTAGGAACACAGACAGAGACAAGCCCTGGGTTCACACCCTGTCTCTGTGCTCATTCACAGGATACCTTGTGCACGTCGGTTCTATCTGAACCTCTTCCCCCATCCATGAGTGTAAGGCCACCCCCAGGCCCATGTAAGGATGCCCTTGGCGAATCCATGGCAAATTGCAGTGGGCAGGGCCTGACCCATGCAGGAAGCCAGGAGGACCACAAGTGCCCTGTGGGACAGGGATCCCATCCCCAGGGCTTTGGCCTCCAGTAAGTGAACTTCAATGATTTACCCCCAAACTGTGGTCCTTGTGAGCCTGGGGAGGGTTTGGTATCTTTTCTGGCACTAAGCTGTTAATCCCAGACCACAGAGAAACGGCACTAGCACAGGTGAAAATAATGGCATATTTTATTGGCATAAATCACAGGAATTGAAATGGGGAAAAGCCAGGTTATAAGTTTACAGAGAAAAAAAATTAAAATCAAATCATCAAATAACCATTGACCCAGAGGGTGGACCTCTGAAACCCCAGGTCCTCTAGGGGAGGGGTCACTGTAAACAGAGCAATAAGGCCTGTGGGTAGACGTGGAGACATCAGACCCGTGGCGGGGCCTGGCTGACCTCCCCAGACCCGGGCTGCTCTCAGCCCTGCCACCAAGGAGGGACCCTCTTCCCTCCCTGGGAAGCCTCCTTGAGAGGCTCAGCACACCCAGCCTCTGCTAGGAGGCTAGCGAAGTGGTCTGGCTCTTCCTCACTTTAGACCACACTGGGACCCCGTTCCACTAACCCAGAACCCCAGCCCTACCTATCTCATCCTTGGGGGAGAACACTCTGGGGGCTTCCTGTTGCTTCAGCGAGACCTTGTCCTTTTGCCGAGAATCCTAGCAGGCCCCCAGCCAACGACCTGGGCTCTTTTCCCCAGGACACCAGTCTCCAGGGAGGGCAGGAAATTTGGGGAAGGGATGCACCCAGTGGAATCAACAAGACTAATGGTCAAAATCAGATACCAGCTTTCCTGAGGAGGCAGAAGAGCCCCAGAGAAGCAGTGAGAAGGCCGAGAATGTTCTATTTGTTGCCAGAAAGTTCACAGGGGAGTGGACACTCCTAATGGCTTACTTAGAAAACAGCACCCCCAAAGTGTACTTCCCCGTTCTCCTCCCTCAGGAACAGGACAGATGAGGTTCGGAATTCTAGGCCCCAAAGGGCAAGACACCCTTAAGGCCGGTTTCAGTGAAGAGCTTGCTGGCCTGGATAGTAAGGAAGGGGTTTCAAAATACAGCAGTTTATAAAAAACAGTCCTTGTGAGCTGTGAAGTTAAAGAAGGGCAGTCACAGAGCTGCTCCCAGTTCACCTGCTTGTGCTAAGAAAAAATAAAATACAAATTGCTTCACCCCCTCCAAGCCCTCAGTACAAGGCAAACCCCATATACCAGAGCCACCGTGGCATACACAGGACAGTGGCAGTGCACATGGGGGAAAGGTACAAAAGGAGACGTCTTTAAAATCTCTTCAAAATCATTTTCGTATAGAGAGGTAAAAGTAACTCAGACGATATGAATTCAAACCTCAGTGTAGAAATCTATCAAAGTTGGTACAGTGTCCAGGCACGGGGTGAAACCCCGCCTCGCACCATCCCCGGAGAAGGAGGAAGTGATTATAAAACATTATTGCTGGAGAGGCCATTCTCAGTAGAACCAGAGAAGTTACAGGGGTCGGGGGGCAGCTGCCCAGGCCTGGGGAGACTGGAAGGGTAGGAGGCGCACAAGGAATCTTCCGTGGCCCCTAGGACACTTCCGCCCTTGGATGGATGGATGGGTGGATGCTGGCATTGTCTGGAGGGAGCTGCTGTCCCCCAATACTCTCAAAACAAGGATAATTAGGTTGTGGGGGCGGATATGGATGAAAAGAGGCCCCCATGTGACCCTGCCTGCCCTCCCCACCCCCACCCCCAGCTCCACTGCCGAAATATGAGTGAGAGATGGCTCCAGTGTGGGGTGCTGGACTGGCCAGGCGGGTTCGTGGGGACACAGGTGGAGCCCTCCAGCCTCTGCCTCTGGGGAGGGTGAAGAGCTGGCAGCCTGCGGGGAGCTGCAGGAGGAGGAAGGAGGCCCAGAGGCTCTGGCAGGGGGTAAGAAAAGCAGGCGGGACCCCTCAGGACCCTCTTGCCATCCTGCACCAGCCAAGGACGTGGTTCCAGTTTCAGTCGGGTTTGCCCCTTCACCCCTAAGCGAGGCCTCTGGGTCACAGTAGCAGTTGGGAGGCTGGGCCGGGAAGCGGGGCAGAGGAAGGGATGAGCGCGCCTAGCAGAAGAGCTTGACGAAGCAGTTCTGACAGTAAGGCTTGTCGTTCTGCTCCTTGAAGGTGCCCTTGTTGAGCTGCTTGAGGCAGAAGGCACAGACAAAGTGCTCCGGGTGGAACTTCTTGGCCATGGCGGTGATGCAGCGGCCCGTGATGGGCTTCTGGCAGCCGGAGCACAGCGAGCCCCGCCGCTCGTGGTAGTGCACCTCACAGTAGGGCTGCCCGTCGTGCTCGAAGAAGCTGCCGTTGACAAATGGTGTGAAGCATTCCTGGAGACAGAAGAGGGGTGGGGCGGGGGGGGCAGGGGGCTCAGGCTGGGGCTGGGGGCTGAGGCAGCTCCCAGGTGATGGGCAGGAGACAGTCAGGGTCATCACACTCGAAATGATTCTCCCTTGCTGAGCATCCTCTATGTGCCAAGTGTGGTGCTAAACGCTTATTGAAGTCTCCCAATGACCTTGACTTGCCACTGCTAAGTTGCACTGCCTGAATTCAGACACGGATCTTACGCCTGGGCACTTCAGCAGGTGGCTTAACGGTGTGCCCAGAAACCCTGGTGTCGAGAAAAGGGTTCCAGGGTCAAACTCTGCATCCTAGATTCCCATTTGGAGATCCAAAGGCACGCTTAGGTATTAAAGGCTCTGAGAAGTCTGGCAATGAACAGTTTCCCAAACTTATTTTGATCAGGGGACACTTACTGGATCTCTAATAACATCTGGGGGACATTACCCCCCAGAATGCAGTCTGGAAACCATTGCCCATTTCCGCTGAGGCTGCTAAATGCTTGCATTATCTCATTTCGCTCTCACACACCCTTCTCCCGAACATGACCTGTCTCAGGGCTGCTGCACAGGACCACCTTGCTCTTGGTTTCTGCCAGCCTCAGTACGAGCCCTGGCCCAGGACCTACTGGACTTGAAGGACTGTACCCCCTGCCTTCTCACCTCATTAATACCCCCAAACAGGGCCTGTAAATCGGATTCAGAAAGCACAGTGAGGTAGGCCCTTCTCTCCCCACTGCCCGCTCTCGGCCCCCTCCAGAGGAGGGCTGGGGGCCCCTTACCCGACACACAAAGCACTCAGGATGCCACAGGGTGTTAAGGGCCGAGATGTAGTTCTCCAGGATGGCTCGGGCACAGCCGCCACACTTGGGGGCGAACATGTCAAAGTAATCCTTCCGGCAGTAGGCCTTGCCGTCTTTCTCGTGGAACCCTGAGGAGGGGGGGTGTGGGGGGCAGATGAGGCCTCCAGAGGAGGAGCCACCCTGACTCCAGCCTCAGCAAGGTCTCCCACCATGCCCCCGCCTCCCCAATGCTCCGGGCGACAGCGAGTGAGAAGGTACCGCTCAGTACCTTCAGGGCCGAAGAAGGCTCCACACTGGGCACAGAAGAAGTGCTCGGGGTGCCACGTCCGGTCAAGGGCTGTCACCACTTTCTGTGAAAGCAAAGTGTGGGACCAGAGCTGAGCGCTGCCCCACTGGACAGATCCCACAGTTGAGACCCACAGGCAAGGCCGTCCTTCCACCCTGCCCCCAGCCCCAGCAAAGGAAAGAGTATAACACTCCCAAGATGGGGTCTCTCCCAACTGTGCTCTGAATACCACTGAGAATTCTGACTTATTGAAGGATGTGATATGTCAGGCACACTCTGTCTCCTTTAATCCTCATGTGCAGTTGAGATCATAGGTTCTATTGTGACTCCCATTTTATAAGGGAAGAAACTCAGGCTCAGGCTCAGAGAGGCTAGACATTTCCCTAACATCACACAGCAGGAGAGTGAGGGAGCCCTCACTTCACTCCATTTACCTGGGCAGGGCTCCTAACCTCTGGGAGGCTCAGCAGAAGGGAATCGGGGATGAGAGGTAGCGCTGCTTAATGTGCATTAGGACGGGCCGTGCATCCGGCCTGAGTGTGAATCCCAGTTTCCAAGCTGTGTGAGCTCGGCCACGTAATGTGACCTCTCTGAGCCTCAGGTGGCACCACCTGCACCCAGGAACTCACATCCAGGATGGGCCCGTTGCAGTAGTAGCAGCGTGGAGAGAAGAGGTTGTGATAGTCCTTTTCACAGTAGGGCTGTCCATCCCGCTCAAAGAAGTTCCGGGATCCGATCTCCTCCTGGCAGTGGGTGCAGACGAAGTGCTCTGGGTGCCACGTCTTCCCCATGGCGGTCACGACCTGAGGAGAGAGGCAGGATACGGCTCAGGACGCAGGTCTGCCACAAAGCACCCTCCCAGAGAAGCCAAGGTCCCGTGCCCACCTACCGCTCCCTCCCCTGCCCCACCCACCCCATCATCACCTGCCCCGCGATGGGTTTCTTGCAGGCCCCGCAGACCCCCTTGGCGACCGTGGCGACCCCCAGTTTGTTCAGGTCAGACTGCAGGCTCCCCAGCATGCTGTCAAGCTGGCTCCCAGGCTTTGAGGGCCCTCCCGGGGGAGAGCTGCTCCCTGTCTTCCCCTGGGCCATGAACTGTGGAGAGAGGGGAGAGGGCAGGTGAGGACATCTGGGCCTTGGGGATGAGGTTCGCAGCACCAGGGGCTCTCCCCTCTCCTGGACAGACGGGCTGAAGGAGGCAAGAAGTGCAGCCCGTCCAGGGGCTTCAGAAGCCCTCAAGGTGGGAGTGGCATCTGTAAGACATTCTGGTGTCAGAGGGGCTCACGGTGGGCCTGACCGAGCCCTGGGAACACATGGCAAGCAGGACATTAAGCCCCAGCCTTGGCACTGACCCCTCCCTCGTCCTGCCCTTCAGGGCTGCTCTGGCTGCCGTTCGGAGGCCAGCCGGCCGCCCAGCACAGCTCTCCGTCCGCTCTTTGTTCCAGGCCCTGGATCTTAGACAGGGGAGGAAACAAGAATAAGAATTTCTTTTTTCTTAATTAAGGAAGAAAGAATAGGAGAACTTGTCATCGAACCATTTCACAAAAAGGACTTTAGGATGAAATGTAAGGATGGATTTTTTTTTTTCCCCTACTAGCAGTACCAAAATCAGGAGAAAAAGTCTAGAGAAAAACCACCACGAGAGAGAGGCCCAGGGAGAGACGAAGAGGGAGAGAAAGGTAAGCCAACCAAAAGGTGCAGGACTTAGGGAGGGGAGGTGATGGGGCCGGAGAGCAAGGAGGCCTCGCCAGGTACTGGGTCTGGGGCTGAAGGCGGGGGATAGGTTTTGGTTTTCCTTCTGGGAATGGCTTCCTCAGATGGAGCCTGGGGCAGGCAGGGGGGAGGCCCCAGGAGGAAGAAAGAGGGCAGCTGACGTCTCGGGGGTGAGAGCATGGACATCAGGTTAAGCGAGGGTCCAGGGTCAAGGCCAGGTCTCAGGAAGGACCATGGTACCATGCAGGGCTTGTGGATGGAGGAACAGAGGGGATGTGTATGTGTGCAGAGTGGGGACACCACTCGAGCATAAGGACAGGGACAGGTAGGGCTGGTGTCAGGGCCCCGGGAGGCCTGCCTGCATCGGGGGGAAGAGTGGGTCCTCGTCGGTCTGGCAGCCCATGGACCTCACAGAGTGGGGCGCAGGAGTGGGCGGGGTGGGGCCCTGTACACCGTCTTCCCGTGGCCCCGCCCCAGCACTCTGGACCCCGGGGGGACCTCGAGGAAGAGCCGAGGGCCCCAGGGTGGAGGAGGTGGGCGGGCTGGGCCGGGGAGAAGAGCTGCTGGCCGAGGCGTCTTTGCGATGCTGGAGCAAAGGGCTGGGAGGAGAAGGAGAAGGCAGAACAGAGAAGGTTCTTCTCAGGGGAATGGGAGAGCCAGGAGGGAAGACAACCTGGGAGGAAGAAGAGAGGGAGAGAGATGAAGGCAACGGCAGAGGAAACATCAGCTCAGCAAGTAGGGGCTCCCTGGGGCCCTCCCACTCTGACACCAAGAGTGAGGCTGGCCTCACAAGGCCACGGGATGCAGAACCCCCCCACCCCCCCCCCCCACATGCCAAACTTCCCCTCTGGCCGCTGCTGGGGAAGAACTGGAAGACCTCCGCCCTGGCCCAGCCCTGGGCAGCTACTCACTACCTTCTCTACCAGCTGCCCCCTAGCCCGCCTCCCACACGGCTGCACAGTGATGACGATGCCCTCGGTCAGCCAGTCCTGGACAGAGGCCCCCGCGGCCCCCTCGGCCTCCTCCACCTCCGGCTGGATGCCCAGCCGACCCTGCAGCTCCGCGATGAGCCGCTCCTGGGACGGGGTCCTGCTCAGGGTGGCGGGGTCCAGCCGGCGACGAGGGGAGGGCTCCCGGGACATGGGGTGAGCGTGGCCGGTCTCCCGGCTCCTTCTGATCATGGAGCGGATCTGGGGGGGGGAGGGAAGCTGTCACAGGCCACTCTGGGCTCAGCAGATGCTGCTCAGTCCACACCCAAGAGCCCCCAGGAGGGGTGGGCAGGACCAAACCACCAGAGAAGAGCCAAGCTGAGCTAGGGTGGAGGCAGGGGGCAGAGCAGACACCCTCCAAGTCAGCCCTGACCTTGGGTAAGACACTTCACTTCCAGGGCCTCAGCTTCTCCATCCTTGAAATGGGGTAACGGCATTTTCTCAGCTGCCTTACAGGGTTGTTAAAAGAATTATTTGAAAGAATGTAAGTGGACATTCTTGAAAGGGCATAAGAATTTCCCTTCTTCCCTCCCTCCCTTCCTTTTTTTAATTTGTAGTAGGAAAAATGTGGTCTTTCCTTACAGTAAATCCTTCAACCAGGTTTTTTTTTTCCTTGTTTACATTATAACCTACTTGTTTCTAGCACTTTGGTTATTATTATTTATTTTTGGCCGCGCTGTGTGTCATGCGGTATCTTAGTTTCCTGACCAGGGATCAAACCCGTGCCCCCTGCACTGGAAGCGTGCAGTCTTAACCACTGGACTGCCAGGGAAGTCCTGGTTTGGTTATTTTTGTTGTTGTTTTATTTTACTTTGTTTTTGAAAAGGGCCTAAAATTTTAATCAAGAAGCGAATAATAACCGTTAACGTCAGCCACGGCTTATTGGGGACCGTGTGCTATGTTCTTTCTAAGCACCTTCTGGCATTACTTCATTTAATCCTCTGGACAGCTCTGGGGGAAATGGTCTATTACCCTCATTTTAAAGAAGAAAACTGAGGCTGGTGCGGGCGTTGCCCAAGGTCACCCAGGGAGCAAGTGTTGGAGGCGTGGTTTGTATTCAGTTCTATCTGGTTCCCAAGCCCATGCTTTTCACCATTCCACACACATCCCATCAGGATGTCAGGGGAAGCTCATCTGAAGGAAAAAGCCTTAATCAAGCAAGAGGCAGGGTGCCACTAAGAGAAATTCCAGGGCCCAGGGAGCTCCGCCGGCCGCACACAGCCCACTGCCCACGGCTGGTTGTCAGGGTCTCAGGCCACGGCATCTCGGAATCGGCTGCCCAAGCAAACATGCGCAGAGTGGGAGGCTGCATGCAATTAGCCAGGCGTGGTCCACGTGCGGCCTGCCGGGGCCATGCCTAGCAGCCGTGCGAGCTCACGCCTGCCTGGCCAGAGGTGGAAATCCTCTCCGTGGTGTTGGGTGTGTCCATGACCACAGCCTGTGGAAGTTCTGGCCGTTCCCTCCTGGCCTCTGCAGCGGCTTCGGTGGTGCCCTCTGGCCTCCTGGGGGTCTCGGGTCCCTGGGCTGGCCTGACCAGGCTGCCCCCCGTGGCCGTCTCTCCACCTAACTGCTCCTCCTCAACTGGGGCATGGCATCTGCTCTCTGGCTCCCCTGGCTCTGGCCTTGCCCTCTCCTTCTGCTGTCCACGTGCTTTCGTGAGACTCCAGGTATCCGGTAAGATAGCCTGACGGTCCACGGCCATGGCGGCTGGCTCGATTACTTCCTGGAAGCTGGGCGTAGCTCCCCCGGGGGACTCAGGCCTAAGCGCCTCCAGAGCCCACGGCCACTCCCATGTGGCAGCCACGGCCTCTCCTGGGCACAAAGGGTTGGCTGACAGCACTTGGGGTTCCCCAGCCTCCTGGGGACCTGTGCACCCAGCGTGGGGTAGAGTGTGGCCGGGAGGCACCCTGGAGAGCTCACTCACCAGGCTCACGTTTGGTGGGTCCCTCCAAACGCGAGCCTGGCTCTCTGCACCCGGTGGCCCCAGAGAACTCTCCGTGGAGGGAGACCTTGAGTTGGGGGTGTCAGGCATCTCCCCAAGGCCAGTCAAATCAAGCCAGCTGGGGGTCACATTGTCCTCAGGGCAGAGGACCTCCAGGGTGTGGCCGTGGCCTCGAGGGGAGGGTTTCCTAGGGGGTGGCAGGAATACATAGGGCCCAGGTGGAGGAGGAGAAAGTATGTGGTGTGGGGATGGAGCTGAGCTGGACAGCAGCCTTGGGGAGCTCAAGGCCACAGCAGAGGAGCTGGTCTAGAGGAGAAAGACAAAAGACAGAGGGGAGAGGAGAGAGAGTTGGGAGAGATGAGGAAGGAAGCCCACTGCAAGGGGCAGGCTGGGCCTCAGGGCTCTGAGAGTCCCCGTCTACACTGACAAGATGGTCTACACTGACAAGACCGTCTACACTGACAAGACCAAGGTGGTGGCGAAGCTGAGGCATGAGGACTGGCCCTGGAAGAAGACCCAGCCCCCAGACAGGTTTTCCTGGGCTTCATATCCCTGGCTCCCATCAAACCCAGGCAGCAGAAAGCAGCCTCTGAGCCATGCCTGTCGGGCACTGCCCCCCGCCAATCCCAAGTACAGACGAGGGAGAAAAAGCTAAGGTGAGGTGGGTCACGGGGAGGTCAGCCCAGGCACCAATCAAGGGACAGACAGCCACAGGCAGCTCTCAGCTCTGTCTCTCCCAGACAATCCCTGCTCTCCTACATCCCCCGAGACCTTGCTCCAGGGTCACAGTGAGAACCAGCGCAGCTTCTCAAGGGATCTCAGAAAAGCAGCACAGCCTAAAGGGTGCTGGGGCAGGGCTCCCTCGGGCCAACTCCTGAGCCCAGTGTACTTGCTCCTGACGGTGGCCACTCAGAACCACTGGCACATGAGGGCCACAAGCCCAGGCCGCACCCATCCCCCCCGCCCCGTGAAACCCCAGCCGAAGGGAGGCTTGGAGGCACCAATGGGGCCAAGAGCTGGCTCCCCTCCTCCGATTCCCTAAGTCATGCCCCCGTGGAAGGGTGGAGTCAGCAACTGTTGGCGAGTTCAGTCACCATCACTCCCCATCAAAGCACTGCATCCTCTAAATAAAACATCTCGGGTCTGGCAGGCCCGGGGAGGAGATGGGGCGCCTCATGCTGGACTGGCCCAGTAGCCTGATGGGTGAGGTTTCCCAGAGAGAACTTGTGGGGACTCAGAGGCCCGTGGAGGATGGAAGGCGGATGGCGAAAGAGGCCTGTGGATTCAGGAGCCAGAGGCAGAAAGAAAGGATGTGTTGAGGACAGCCAGCCAGCGTGGGAGATGGGGCTCCAGGGCAAATGACCTCTCGGAACAGGATCCCACAAGGCCCAGCAGAGCACCCCCTCCCCTACCAAGAGCAGCCATCAACACAGGGTCCTTTGTCCCAGACTCCTGATCCCTCGCCTGGGTGGCTGGGAGCTGAGAGCACCCAGGGAGGAAGGAATGTCCTGCTGAGCACGTCCTGCCTTCACAGGCTGAGAGGCAGCTCAGTCCCCACGTGGCCAGCCTGGCCCTCCCTCCCCCATATCCTGGCAAGGCCAGGGCACTGCCTGCGGGGTCCCAGGCTCAGGGCGAGGCACCCAAACACGCAGGGGCCAAGTTCCAGCTACTCATGCTGAGGTACAGGAGGGGAAGGATGGGGGTTCTGAGGGGCCAGGGCAGGGAAGAGGGACCTCAGGGCACCTTAAAATCCGACAGCGAGGCCATCAGCTCATCCAGCTCCCTGGTGGCAGAAGAGGCGGAGATGCGTGTCTGCTGCTGGCTGGAGGTGACTCGCTGGGGGCTGCTCATCTCGCCCTGGTTCACAGTGATGGCGGGGCTGCACGCAGGCATGGCATCAGTGGGGACCCCAGAGGCCAGCCCGTGCACCCCCAGCATGTCCCTCCCCTCCTCAGGGGATCAACAACTCAGCTCTGACACTGGGGTCCTGCCACTCCCAACCCCAGGGAAGCCCACCAGCTCCCAGTCTCTCCTGGGGACGCATTGTTGGGAGGGGCTGCTGTCAGCCAGCAAGACAGAGCACTGAGGTGAGCTGATGGGAGAGAGGCAAGGTCAGCTCAAATGGCACTTCTTTCCAAGAAGACCAAGTCCAAGCCTGCCGTTCAACAAGCCCCAGCATCCTGTGTATCCTCCACAACACTGCACGTACATGTGAAGTTGTTCCAACAACACAGTAACACCAAGGAGAGCTAAGACTCGGTAGACACTTACCATGGGTCCTGTGTGCACGTGCTTTACGTGTGTTATTGGGTCTCACCCCTACTGAGGTAGGTGGTCTTATCCCCCTTATCCCATTTCATCTTACCCCATTCTACAGATGGGAAAACAAAGGCTTGAGAGACAACACTTAGTAAGTGCACAGCCAAGATGTGAACCCTATTGTGTGGCTCCAAAGCCTGTGCTGACAGCTGCTGGGCTATGGGTGCCCTCAGCGTGCACAGTGTCTGTCCTTCCTGATGGATAGTGGCTCGTTGAAGGCAGGCATGGTGTCTGCGTGACTTGTCACCATCCCCCAAGGCCTGGTGCAGGGCCTGGCAAACAACAGGCACTTCAGAGGGAACGGGTGACACTGGGGATGAGACGGCAGACCCTGGAGCATGGGACGGGCTGGGCGAGACCTTCCCCTGCCTGGGAGGGCCCAGTGGAGACTCACACGGGGCTGGGCACGGAGCTCTCCAGCTCATCCAAGAGACTCTCCACGCTGGGCCGCACGTCCTCCAGGCCCCGGCCTCCGTTCCGCTTGGGCTTCTCTTTGGTCAGTGGCCCAGCTTTGCCCCCCAACGAGCTGTTATTCTCCGGGATGCCGTAGTGGGGGCTCAGAGCCCCAGGCAGTGGGGGGCTTGAGTTGGCCTCATCTTGGGAGAAGGAAAGAGAAAAGGTGCTCAGCCCTGAGCCCTGCAGGGATCCAGAGGCCAGCAGGTGGGCCTGGTGGGCCTGACCTAGTCCTACCTGCAGGGTAGCCTGGGGGGTTATGCTGCACGGCGTTCAGCTCCAGCAGCAGGCGGTCGAGTTCAGAAAGGTTGCTGCCCAAGGAGGAGCTCATGATGGTGGGTGAAGGCTCGGCCGACTTCTGCTTGTTGGGGAAGCTTTGAGAGGCAAAGGGAAGACCTTGGTGAGAGATGCTCCCCAGCTCTGGCGGCCCCCAAATCCTCAAGGAGAATAAGGCAGAGGGGATACAGCGTCTCCACCGGCCAGAGGACGGAGAGCGGGGAAGTGATGTGGCAAGAAGAGGGGAGGAAGGAAGTCTTGCTTCAGTTCTTGAACCTTCCTCAACGCAGGGCAATGTGACAGCCAGTCCAGCTGCTGCACGGTGATGGCAGATAAGGCCACCGGGCCAGTTGAGAGGCCTTCTGCCGTCTAACCCAGTGACCCTTGAGGCAGAATCCCCCTCCCCTCCAGCGCTGTGCCGTGCCTGACCCTGGCCTCAGTGGCCTCTGCCCGCCGATGCACAGGATTCCCAAGCAGGGGGAGGAGCTGGGCAGTACCTGTACACGTGCTCTTCCTCGCCAGCTCGAGGACACGGCAGGCCGACGCCGTCCTGGGGGTTGGAGGCACTGGAAGTTTTAGCACTGGAGCCGTACACGGGGGACGGGGATGGAGGCTGCAGGAAGGACAGTGCTCAGAGCCTCCCCGGGGAGGAAAAGGAACAGCCCGAGTCACCCCCGGAAGGCTCCTGCTCACAGGCAGTCTCACCAGGGAGTTTCCACACTCTGACCAGGAGACAGGTGATTAACACTTGGTCACTGCCCCCTCACGTGGCGGCGGCGGGTGGGGAGAGCCAGACGCTTCCCGCCTCTTCTCCCTACTTCCCTGATCGCTGGCTCTCCGAGCCACTGCCAGACAAGCTCCTTGTGCCCTGAAGCTGACTTCCGAGGCCCTGTCCCCACCTTACCTGCTGGTGGATGAATCGGGAGGTGCTGGGCTGCCACTGGTCTAAGGGGTCAAGGACCGTGCCATTGAGGGCCTCGCTGGACGGGGGTGGAGGGACAGGGGGTGGCACGGCAATCTCCTGGTATGTGTGGTTTCCTGTTGGGTACGAGTAGGGGGTCTCCTCGGACAAGAACACAGGCCGTTTGGAGATGTGGGAGGTCGTGGACTCCAAGTCTGCCAGCAGGGCGTCTGCAGAGAGAAGGCGTGGGGAGCGGGTAAGAAAATGGATCCTGGGGACTAAGTCTCCAGTGGCAGCGCCCTCCCTGCCTACACCCAAGAGTTAATGACTGCTGAGCACCTGCCCCGCCCATGGGAGAAATGACTAGCCTCAGGTCAGGAAGGTATCAGCCCAGACCAGCCTGGCTAAGAACAGCTCCCAAAGCTCTTCTCCCCAGCCACGAAGAAGGTGCTCTGGAGGTTCCTGGGGCCGCCCTGAGGGCTCTCCTACCTCTGGGAGCCGGGCATCTGCGTTCCCTTCCAACAGGGCTGTGCAGCTGGCTGGCTGGCCGGCCGGGAGTCAGAAGTACCTGCCTGGAACCCGCACTCTGACTCCACAGGGCAAGGTGGAGAGAATGGGTGGGAGGGGCCCCACGTCACGGGGAGGGGCCTGGGCACTGCCAGGTCCCACTTAATTTCCAAGAGCTTAAGCCCGCTCAGCCCCCAGCCTGGAGGGGCCCCTGGGGTGGTACCCGCCCTCCTGACCAGGTAGAAGTCGAACCTCAGGCTCCAAGCTCCTCCTGAGAGTCTCGGGGCTGCTGTGAGAAGTGTGAGGGACAAGGCTGGTGCAGCGTTCCCGCCCCCACCCCCCGCCCCCGTCAGCAAAGAGGGGCAGGACTGCTCTGTAGGCTGTTTTTGCGGAAGCCTGGCAAGCAGCCTGGCCCCAGAGGCTCCAGGGCCCCACTATTCTGCTTTTAACAGCAGCAAGGGAGCCGAATCAACCCTCAAGTGCAAGCTTCCATTACCCTGGCACTAGGCAGCCCGCAGGGGGCCCTGCATCTCCCCAGTCCCCAGACAAGAAGGGTACAGCTGGAGGGGTGGGGGCAGGAGCTGCTGATCCTGCCCTCCTGGGACCCTCAACAGCCCCACAGCCTGGCCCCACACGCCATGCCCTCGTTCCTGCTGTGTCACCGACTAGTTCACTCTCCCCCCGCTGCTGGCCTGCTGCAGTGGGGGAACTCGGTCCCTGGCCCTTGTGATAATAATCACCAGAAAGCAATGGCTGGATCATGGCCCTTTACTAGTAACAGGCACTGTGTTGGGTACGTTGCATACGTGGTCTCAGTTAATCCTCCTAATACCCCATGAAGTTGGAATTCTCACCCTTCCTTTACAGATGGGGAAACCGGCTTAAAGAGGTGGTGGGACTGGCCCCAAATAACAAAGCCGGTAAGTGACAGGACTGACTCCTCAGAGGCCCCAAACCTCAAAAATCTGCCCTGCAAGAGGCTGCTGTGATCACAAGATGGTGCCAGATTTAAACAGTACAACTTCCTGAATGACGGGGCCCAAGCTCTGAGAGCTGCCAGTCTGATCCTTCCTGGTGGCCCTGTCCCCAACCCCACCCCTGCTCAAAGGAAGTAAGAAAGAAGCAAGGGCCTCACCCAGGGCCTGGGTCTGTGGGCCCACACCTCCCAGCTACGTGCCCTGATGTCCTACCCCCAAGGCTGGCAGCACCTACCCCAGGCTCCTACCCAGCTGATCAGAAGCTTGTTCCAAGGCCTGGGATGTCTCTGACTTCCAAGGAAGGTCAGTTCCTGCAGCCCCCGACTCCTCCAGGTCCTTTGGAAGAAGTCTGACTTCCTATCTCTAGCAAACCGGAACTAGAGGGAGTCTGTGTGTCTAGGTAACAGTGGAAAAGGAACCAGTGTCCAGGGCCAATCCCAGTGGCCTCTCCACGGCCACACCTGCTGCCTTGGCTTCACAAGGCGTCCTGGCTTCCTCTGGGCCCAAGCCAGCAGGAGGGGTGGGGTCCCTCCTTCTCCATCATGGGCAGAGCCAGCCCCCAACAAGTGCAAGTCCAGTAGGGGTAACAAGGGCAGCTGCCATGCCTGAATGCCCACCACGTGCCAGGAGTTTCACCTGTGTCACCTCTCTTTCTCCTCACGATACCACTAGCACAGATGGCAAAACTGAGGTTCAGAGAGGCAGAGGCACATCTCCACACTGCCTGAGCTGGCTGAAGTGACACCGCTGGGACCTGAACTCGGGTCTCTTGGGCTCCACTCAATAGAAGACAGATGGTTAAGCTTCCTTGTCAAAACTTCTGAGCCAGGGACACCACCAGCCTCTGCACCAAACACCTTCTCCCACCTCACTCATGACCTGACTCCAAGCCTGGCTTATTGGTTCATGGATGGATTCTGGTTTATGATTTAAACAGGCTCTTTTCAACACAGATACATCTGTTGGTCAAAAGGACCAGTCCTGGGGGATGGAGAAAAAAGATCTGTGGAGTCAAGCCAGACCTGAGTTCAGTCCCAGCTCCTCTATCTACACTACCCACAGCCACAGAGCAAATCACTTAGCTCCCCACCTCACAGCACTGGCGTGAGGTTTATATGGGATAGCAGATGCTATAGTACACGGGAAGCTGCAAACACCACACCTCAGGTGCTTTGTGAAATTCAGAAAAAGATTTTCCTCCAAGGAGGTCAGGTTGGGTTGCAAAGTGCTGACTTCTCCTAAGTCCTCTATGGGTAGGATCTGGGCAAGACAAGAAAAGGGCAACCTTGAAGAGAAAAGCAAAAGCAAAGTAATAAAGTAACATTCAAAGGAAAACATTTGGGGACTTCCCTGGTGGTCCAGTGGTAGAGAATCCACCTTACAATGCAGGGGACGTGGGTTCGATCCCTGGTCAGGGAACAAGATCCCACATGCTGCGAGGCAATTAAGCCCACGTGCCACAACTACTCAGTTTGTGCGCCTCAACTAGAGAGCCTGCGTGCCGCAAACTACAGAGCCCACGCGCCCTGGAGTCTGTGCGCCACAACTAGAGAGAGAAAACCCGTGTGCCACAACTAGAGAGAAGCCCGCGCGCCGCAACGAAAGATCCCGCATGCCTCAACTAAGATCCGACACAGCCAAAAATGAATAAAATAAATAATAAATCTTTTTTAAAACACCCCAAAAACAGAGTGAAACATTTGTGGATGTCAGAGAGCGGAGGCACACCACTGTCCAAACTTGTGTCTGAGTGAGAGTTAGGACGTGCACAGCCACCGGTTCTGTGTGTAGCTTCCTCCTCTCTCTCCATCCTTGGTCTTTGCTCTGTGATAGACAGGACTTGGTGCCACTGTCCCACCAAACCCCTCACAAGCGCCTCAGGGGAGAGCCAGGAATACAGGAGGCACGGAGGAGTACTCGCTGGCCTCTACTTTGGATTCCTATGGGTGCCGAGGCCTGCTATCTCCCCACAGGCTGCAAAATGGTGATGGGCCAAAGTCTCCTTGCAAGCTCAGCAAACTCCTCCCCGGCCTGAGTAAACAGAGGTGGCAGATGGAGTCCACTTGCAGTCCACAGTGGGGGCGGGGGTGGGGGGAAGGTCCCCAGCTTTCAGCTACAGTTACTGCCTGGTGCCAGCTCTGAATACCCTAGGGGCAGGCTCAGGATTCCTTCTACACATACCCCGAAGAAGGTGTCAGAGAAAATGGTGCCGCTGGAACACACCCTGTCTCCCACATGTTTGGAGGATGGCTTCCATACACACAGAAGCAGTAAGCAGTCAGGGCTCACTCATTCAGCCTAAGGAAGGCCTCAGACTTCCTCAGCATCGCTCCACTAAGCTTCTGGGTCCAGGCCTGAGACCACCGGAACAAGTCAGAGCGACTAGGACCACCCTAGTCACCCTGGGGAAAGAGCTCTCTCTGGGGCTTCCCAGCCCCTTGCTGGAGGAAATCACCCTAGATTCTGCAGGCGTTTTGCCTCTCCAGACCAGCGGATGCAGGCTCTGTCACTTCCATCCAAGAAGAGGGAAAGCCCAGGTCTCTGGGAGCCTATCTAGTGTATGTGTGGAGAGGGAGAGTTCTCCTTTCGAAACTGGGAATGGGGGAGTTAATGCAAAGTTTCCAGTCCACCAGAGGCAACCAGCTTGTTGCGCCCTGGCAGCGAAGGGGTGCAGACCGTCCTCCGCTGCCCGCCAGAGGGAGCTATTGGCCCGTCGGCTCTCCGCCACGGGGAGTAACCGAAGGTAACCTCGCACAATCACGGAATTTTAGAGCCGGGGAAGACCCGGGAGCCCCCAGCCGGCCATGGGTGCACCGGGAAAGTTTCAGTGCCAGGGAATGCCTGACTGAGCTGGAGGGACGGAGCAGGCTGTGAGGAGGCGCACAACGACGCCGGGGGGCCAAGCCTCTGGGCCGTGCCTGCAGCACACATCATCTGAAGGCGTGACTCTAGAGTGACACAAGAGACAGACACATGCCCTAGCTTCTAGTGCCCAGCGGCTGCACCTAAGCAGCCACTCAGAGGGGTTGTGGCTTCCACTGCGAGGCTGCCCAGGAGCAAGCGGGTGGGTGGGCACAGCGCACAGGGCCAGCACAAGGTGAAAGGCCCTTCCCCGGGCCCCAGCAACCACCGGCCTAGCACAATCCTGAGGCCAGGGTCGGGGGTGGGGGGTAGCCGCTGGCTCTGCAGCCCTGAGGGGGTTAAGACTCAGGTGCCCAGGCTCTCTGCGCTGGGAGGGAGGAGACTCGGGGGCCAGTTGGGCTGCATTCCAGGGCAAATGCTGCAGTTGCGCCCCTCATATTCCCAGACCAGGTCAAGCGTCCAGGACAGAGGGAGCCCCAGGCCCCCTCACATCCCCAACATAGGGGATCTCTGCCAGACTGAGGCTTGGGGGCCTGGGTTGACCCACAGACACACGGCGCCCAATAATAAGTTAAAGAAACTCAACTAACCACCTCCACCTCCACCCCCAACTGGAGTATAAAGACAAGTCAAGCCTCTTTCACAAGCCTGGCTTCCTCCTACCCAAGCCCGGCAACTTCTTAGTATGTGATAAAGACTGTCAAGATTAGAGACCTAGAGCTGGATGGACGCCAAAGAGAGTGAGATAAAGGGCCATCCAGGATCCCTCAAATGTGGCGGGGGAGGGGGCGGGGGGGGCGGTTACCAGAGCGATTTCATTCTCCCTCCCAGGCTCTGAGGACACGAGATGTTAGAACTCACACAGGGGAATACTGAGTCACACA